AGTCTACTATGAACAATCATACACCAACAAATTAGATAACTTAGGAGAAATGGATAAACTCCTAGAAATACACAGTCTACCAAAACCAAAGCATAGAGAAATCTACCTCAACATAATAAAGGCCATAAATGTGAAGGGCACAGCTAACATCATACTCAATGATGAAAAGCTGAAAGCTTTTCCTCTAAGATCAGAAACAAAGCAAGGCTGCTCATTCCAGCAACTTCTAGCCAACCTGGTACAAGAAGTCCTAGCCAGAGTATTTAGGCAAGAAAAAGAAACAAAAGGCATCCAAATTAAAAAAGAAAAGTCTATTTGAAGATGACATGATCTTGTAGAAAACTCCACCAAAAAAAAAAAAGTTAGGATAAACAATCTCATAAATTGCTGTACACAAAATCAACATGCAAAAATCAGTTCTATTTCTACCCACTAACAACAAACTATCTGAAAACGAAATTAGGCTAACAATCCCATTTACAATAGTGGCAAAAAGAATAAAATATTTAGGAATAAACTTAACTAAGAAAATGAAAGAAAGAAAGGAAAAAAAGAAAATGAAAGATCTGCACACTGAAAAGTATAGCATATTGATGAAAAAATTTAAATACATAAACAAATGGAAAGACAGCCCCTGTCCATGGATCAGAAGACTCAATATTCTTTAAATGCCTATACTTAAATGCCTATAATTAACAGAGTGAGAAGGTAACCTAAAAAATGGGAGAAAATATTTGCAAACTATACACCCAATAAGAGGATAATTTCCATAATATATAAGTGGTTCCTACCGCTCAACAGCAAAAACACTAATAACCTGGACAAAAATGAGCTAAAGAGTTAAATAGGCACTTCTCCAAAGATACACAAATGGTTAACAAGAATATGAACAGATGGCTCAGCTTCAGTAAGTATCAGGGAAAGACAAATTAAAACCACAAACCTTGTACATGTTAGGATGGCTATTATCAAAAAGTCCAAAGACAACATGTTGGTGAGGATATGGGTAAACTGGAACTCTTGTATAATGTTCACAGGAATGCAAAATTGTACTGTTGCTACGGAAAACAGCATAGAGATTCCTCAAAAGATTAAAAATTGCAGTACCATATGATCCAGCATCTCACTTCCGGGTGTATATCTGAAAGAATGGAAATCAGGATCTTGAAGAGGTATCTGTTATTATACCCCCAAGATCACAGCAGTCACTATTCACAGCAGCTACAATGTGAAAACAACCTAAAAGTCCACCAGGGGATGAGCAGATAAAGAAAATGAGGTATACATACACAATGAAATGTTATTTGGGCTTTAAAGAGAAGAAAATTCAGAAATATACAACAATATAAATGAACCTAGAATACATTATGCTGAGGGAATAAGCCAATCATAGAATGACAAATACTGCAAGACAGCACTTAAATGAGGTATCTAAAATAAGCAAACTTGTAGAATCACAGAAGTGAATGGTGGCTGCCAGGGGTTGGTGAGGAGGGGGTTAGGGATAAGAAGTTGCTAACCAATAGGCATAAAATTTCAGTTATGCAAGACTAATTAGACCTGACAATCTACTGAACACTGTGTATAGTTATACTTTATTATACACTTAAAATTTTGTTAAGAAGGTGGAAAAAAAATTACTTTTTATTTATTTTTTTTGGTTCACAGAACCCTCCTTTAAGATAAGAGGTTATAATGTTAATAAATAGTTTGGAAATACCTTCAAAGTCAAAACCAGGGTGACTGATAAAGCAAAGAAGTTTTGCCACTCGATGAATTTGTAGCACTGAAAACAGTCTGGGAGTGTTACAAAAAAAAAGACTGGGGCATTAAAACAGACTAGGGCAGGGGAATGTACTCAAAAGACTAAAAATAATTTTTAGTTTTTATCTAAATTATGGATTTTTCAATTATAGCTAGAACTTTCAATAAAACCCAAATGAGAGCCAGGAAATCTCAAGCCATAATGAAGAATTTTCAAAGATTAACCTATACATGAGAGTAAATAACACAACAGTAGAATTATTTAAACTGAAGCATTCAGGAGGTCAAAAATAAAAGATTTAGATAAAAATTCTGATTTTGCAGTGAATAGACCTCTAATCCTAAAAATGTGAAAATATACCTCCTACCATCAACAACAGTGTGTCAGCATTCTCTAGGATTGTTATAATTAAAAAGACAGACAATAAGGAGTGTTGGCAAGGATGTGGAGAAACTGGTACTCCTATACATTGCTTTGAGAATGTATTAATAAAATGGTGCACCCACTCTGTAAAACAATTATCATATGTCCCAGATATTCTACTCCTAGGCATATATTCAAGAGAACAGAAAAAACATTCTTACACAAAAACTTGTACAGGAATGCTCAGAGCAGCATTATTCACAATAACCAAAAGATGTAAAAAACCCAACCCAAACATCCATTAACTGATGAAAGATAAATAAAATGCTATATACATATACACATATGTATATATATACACACACATCTATACACACACAATGTAGTATCATTCAGCCATAAAAAGGAATGAAGTACTGTTACATACAACATGGATGAACCTTGAAAACATCTCAACTGAAAGAAACCAATTACGTGAGAACATATACTGTATGATTCCATTTATAAGAGATGTCCAGAGTAGGCAAATCCAGAGAAAGAAAGTAGATTAGTGGTTGTCAAGGGCAAAGGATGGAGGGAGAGAGGGAATAATTGCTAATGGGCAGAAAGTTTCTTTTTCAGCTGATGAAAATGTTCTGGAATTAAGACAGTCCTAATGATGCAAAACTTTATGAATATACTAAAAATCACTGAATTGTACACTTTGAAAGAGCGAATCTATCTCAGTTTTTAAAAATACAGTGCATCAGAATAGGGTGATCCATCTGATTAAACAAGGCATAAACTTTGTGACCTGGGGACCATGAACAGTTAGCTGTTTCCTACTTAGATATATCACAAATTACACACCTTCTTGTAGCCAAGATTCAAAAGACAGATGCGGTCAAATCACAAACAAGAATCAGAAAGCTGGTATGATACCACCTTTCATATACAAAGCAGCCAGCCAGTCAGCTGAAAGACTGATCTGCTGAAACTTCCTTTTTCAATGGTGGGCCCCCAAAAAATCAAAAAAAAAAAAAAGTAAAGAAAAAACCGAAAAAAAGGTTTTCCCAAAAACCCCCTGCCCCAACCAAAACCAATTTTGGTCTTCAGTACCACAGGAAGAACATCTCAGCATTAATTTTACCTTGAATACGACTGTTTCCAGAATATACTAAATTACTGAGTAAAGTGTCTTGGAAGAAATGGTGTTCTCTGTGTCTATAACATGGGAATAAGGCACTGTAATAAACATCCTAAAAGGACTCACTTTCCCTACCAGTTATGGGAATATGGGAAGAAATTTGTCCCAAGCATAATAATTAGTATCACCAATGGTATTCAATAATCTAGAAAAGAGCTGTTGACTTCAGAGAGTCAACAAAGGGTCAATTAACCAGAATATTAAAATTCACTGACAAGAGCTTTTAGCACTCCATTTTTAAAGAAAAAGTATTATGCCTTTAGCATTCACACTCAAAATCCAAAATTGTAAGAAGTTAGCAGGGGCTCTTACAGTCAACACAGACACTCAAATCAAGCTTGTAGTACCGTATATTACATGTGCTTCAGAGCAGAGGCCTATGTTTGTGTTGATCACCTATCTCCAGGGCTTAGCACATGTGGCTGGGTCACTTCAGTAGTGTCAGGCTCCTCAGTTAAAGGGATTTTCCAGGCAGGAATACTGGAGTTGCTATGCCCTCCTCCAGGGGATCTTCCAGACTCAGGGATCAAACCTGCTTCTCTGGCACTGGAGGCAGATTCATTACTGCTGAGCCACTGGGGAAGCCCAGGCTTAGCACAGTGATTAGCATTTTATTAGCAATATTTCTTAAACTAATGTTTGATGAAATTCAATCTAAAATAATGACTTTAAGCCTCTGTAAATCAAGAATTTAAAAAATATTACCTGTCCACCTTATATATCTACTTACAAACACACGAGGAGAACTTCCAGAGTGGTTTTTCAAGCTCCCTTTTAAAGCATGACTACACTCACTCTCAAGAACAAATTAAGAAAGTACAAAGAAATAAAAAATAATTGACTATCATGTCTGCATCTGCAGCAAAGGATGGGCTGGGATAAATTAAACACTTTATTTGCCAGGCTACCCACTGGAAGAGACTGATTATTCTCCTCTGATCCCATAAGGTTAAGATGAAGTCATTTGTTCTCAGGTTCTACTGACAAGCTGGTCACAGGTGTTTACAATGAAACTCCCGTATAAACACCAAAAGGATAAATCCTAATTGTTTCATTAACAGATTACACCTGTGGTGAAAAGGGATTCCTCTGGCTTGGGGCCAAACACCCACTTTCCAATAATGAAGGCTCTATTATTAGTCAGCACTACAGTACCATGTTCTAACCGTGTAGCGTCAACAGGCAACGGTTACAAGTTGTGTAAAAACTCGTCTAGGCTTTGGGCTCTTAGGTAAAAGATGGAATCATCATTGCGGTTGGCTTCTGGGATGAGTGCAAGGACGAAATTAACTTACGTATATGTAAAACACCTGGCACAAGAAAGCAGCTACTCAAAAACGTAAATCGCCTCCCTGAAGTGGTCACTACTATCAGAGGCACACACACAGATACTCCATAAAGGTTTTCCACAAAAGGTTATCAGCACATGCATCCAGGATGCAAAAAAAAAAAAAAAAAAAAAAAAAAAAGGTGTCCCAGTACTCAGGGAACCTACAGCCAAGATCAGGAGCTGGGCAGCCTGAGTGGCTGGACAGAGTTATAACTGGGCAGGCCCAGCCGCCAACTCCTGCCTCACCTGTGCCAGACAGACACCACACACACGGAGGCAAGTACTTTAAAAACTCGACTGCAAGCGCTAGAAACGCGACTCAAACCAGCTTAAGCAATACTAAAAAAAAACTGTACCTCACAGAGGAAGATGTTGAGGCTCGAAACCAGCTTCTTCCCTCACTCTCCTTTGCACACGCATGCCTTCCGCCAGGACGGGTTCTCCCTCGGGCTGCAACATGGCGCCTATCAGTTTGCCTGCTGTGGAGAGGTGGGGCTTCCTCCCGAAGACTTTACTTTAGTACAAAGACTGACGTTTGTACTCACTTATCATTGGCCCAAACTGGCTTGGGCCTGCCCACCCGTCAACCAATCAGTAACAACAGAGCGCCAACTAATCATGATTGACTGAAAACCTACTCTATGAATGGAAGAGACGCTTGAGCGTCAATTCCAAGTGTCTATTACAAGCCACTCAGTAAATGACTATTTGGTGAAAAAATAGATGGAGTAATGAATGGCTGAATCTACAAATATAATGGAATTTGTGCTCCTTTTGAAGGATTTCCGCCCCTCTGGGGAAGGATGTGAGAGTGCTGCTTTCAGTTTGAGTTCCACATAATTAGACTCATGTGAGTATACCCAGAATGATTTCCTTGGGAAGCTGTCAGCAATTAAGCATAGACCACCATTAATATTACTAAGCAAGTAATACAAGTCAGGCACTACATGGAGTGTAACTTGGGTTTGAGAGCATAGGATAGGAGTGAGACAGGCCTGGGTTCAAATCCTTTCTCTACCATTTATTAGGTATGTAATCTTGGACAACTTACTTAACCACTGGACCTCTGTTTCCTCATAAGCTGAATGGAGAAATCATATTTCCTACCTCACAATGTTTTTGTGAGAATTCAATAAAACATAGGTGAAATGGTCAGTATACTGAATGTTTAATAGATGCTAGCCATAATTACCATTCATAATAAATTCATCCCAAATCACCTTTAATTTCAATATAAACTACTCAGAACTAGGAGAGGAAAGGCACCTGTTCTCTGTCTCATAAAGCATTAAAATAGTCATTTTATTAACTGGAAGGACTCAGAGTAGGCAGGCTGTTCTCATGTAAGATATACCTGGTCCTATTCTGTGATAATGCCATTCTGGATGCCCTTCCCCGAAGATGGCATGTCACTACTACGTTTCTCTGTTTAAAATCTATATATTTACCCAAGAGAAATTAAAAATCTATGCCCTGGCACTTCCTTGGTGGTCCAGTGGTTAAGAATCTGCCTGCCAATGCAGGAGACATGGGTTTAATCCCTGGTCTGGGAAGATTCCATGTGCCATGGGGCAACTAAGCCCTTGGGCCACAACTACTGCATCCGCAGAACTCTAGAGCCAGCACGCCACAACTAGTGACCCTGGTGTGCTGAAACTACTGAAGCCCATATGCCTACAGCCCATGTTCCTCAACAAGACAAGCCACCACAATGAGAAGCCTGTACACCGAACAAAGAGTAGTCCCTGCTTGCCAAAAGCCCCTGTGCAGCAGCAAAGACCCAGCACACCCAAATATAAAGAAAAATTTGTTTAAAAAAGAAAGAATATATATGCCCTCACAAAGGCTTGTACATGAATGTTCATAGAAGTAAAAAAATTAAAACAAACAAAAAAAGTAAAGAACAAGTACTCATTAACAGTGAATGGATAAGCAAATTGTGGTATGTTATTAAAATGAAATGCTACAGGTAGTAAAAAAGAGTAAACACTGAAACATGCAACAACATGGATGAATCTCAAAACCATGTTGAGTGAAAGAAGCCAGACACAAAATAGCACTTACTGTATGATTTCATTTATGTAAAATTCTATAAAAGGCAAACTAATTTATACTAACAGAAAGCAGATCATTGGTTTCCTGGGGCCAGGTGTAAAGAACAGGTGGAGACTGAGATGAGGCAGAAGGGAATTTTGAGGGGGTTATGGAAATGGTCAGTATCTTGACTGTGGTGCTGGTGGTAGTTATAATAATGTATATATTTTTCAAACCTCAAACTGTTCACTTAAAATGGGTGCATTTTATCACATGTAAATCAGCTCTCAGCTGACCACATCACTGTTTGAATTCTCTGTAGACAAGGCACCTCTGTATTGCTGGCCCTAGTGCACACTGTCCCCTCCCACCCCATACCCCATTCCCCATCTCTATCTTGGTCTGATACAGTCAATGAAAAGGAAACATAGATTCTGAACTGCATATGACTGCAGAAAAACTAACAACAAAAAACTAAAATCATGGTATCCAGTCCCATCACTTCATGGCAAATAGATAGGGAAACAATAGAGACAGTGACCGGCTTTTTCTTGGGCTCCCAAATCACTGTAGATACTGACTGCAGCCATGAAATTAAAAGACGCTTACTCCTTGGAAGAAAAACAATGGCAAACCTAGACAGCATATTAGAAAGCAGAGACATTACTTTGTCAACAAAGGTCTGTCTTGTCAAAGCTACGGCTTTTCCAATAGTCATGTATGGACGTGAGAGTTGGACCATAATGAAGGCTGAACACTAAAGAATTGATGCTTTTGAACTGTGATGTTGGAGAAGACTCTTGAGAGTCCCTTGGACTGCAAGGACTTTCCATCCTAAAGGAAATCAGTTCTGAATATTCATTGGAAGGACGGATGCTGAAGCTGAAGCTCCAGTACTTTGGCCACCTGATGGGAAAAGCTGAATCATTGAAAAAGATCCTGATGCTAGGAAGAATGAAAGCAGGAAGGAGAAGGGGATGACAGAGGATGAGATGGCTGGATGGTATCACCAACTCAATGGACATGAGTTTGAGCAAGCTCCAGGAGATGGTGAAGGACAGAGAAGCCTGGTGTGTTATCTGCTGTAGGGGTTGCAAAGAGTCAGACATGACTGAGCAACTGAACAACAACGACTGCAGAGAGACTCTAATTCAATCATTCCATTTATCAGTGAGGAACTAAAACTTGGAGAGCAAATAAAGTTGGACAAGGTCTGACTTACATTGGTTCACAGAAACAATAAAAAGGAGCAGCAGAGAGCCTGAGTAACCCTTAAAAGATGACCTACAAAAAATAAAAATCCTTCATGGGCCTGGGGCATTTCTGAGCCAGTGTTCTCTGCTATCCACTGAGTGTGTGTATGGGTGGGGAGATTTTTCTAGCCCACTGCTTTCATGCTCAATGATTCAGCCACATCCATTGGCTCAAAGGACTAGTCTATTTTTATCCAGGCAGAGATACTGGCACTTGGACCAGGTTCTTGTTTCAAACACAGTTGAATAGCTGGGTTGGAGAAGCAGAGACCTCACTAAATGCCTTGTACCTGCTCACACTGGCTTATGTCGTCTTAAGATCAGGAGTTCTCAGAAGGGCTTCTGTGGTTGAAAAGCTAAGAAACTCCCTAAAATAGTTTACAGATAGCTCTGAATTACGGGTCCACCAGCAGTTTTAGTTTTGCATATGTTGATAAGGGACAAGATTTAGATCCTAGACCTGACCCTCCCTGATCAAAGTTAGATGACTGTTTTGGAGCAATAAATTCCCACTGCATTACCCATCCCTCTCCCCATCCCCTTAGTCACTCTTATCCTGGGTTAGTTACAAACAAACAGAAAAGCTGCTCTCTCCATTTCTGCACACACCCTTCATTTGGTCTTGCTGGGCAGTGAATTGCTGAAACAAGAACCTTGGATGAGAAGGAAGGGGTAGAGAAGGACAAAATTGCTGTGCTATTAGATTTACTTTCTGTTGGGGGGCATTTGTCCCTAGATGAGTGTTTATAAGTGAGATCTGGTGTCTGAAGGTGTCTGGGTTCGAAAGCCAGCTCCATCAGTTCCAGGCTTTGCGAGCTTGGACGAATCATTCTGTGCCTCAGTCTGGTCATCTGTAAAATGGAGCCCATCGTACCAGTTTCACAGGGTGCTAAAGTGAAAGGCAGACCAGTTCTCTCTTTAGTGTTCATGGAACGACAGTTATCAGATCACATTACTGCCTGCCAAGTTCCTTTCCCACATCTCCACACTCACACAACCCAGCAACACGGCTCAAGGGCACTCACTGGGTCACTGACTTGATCAGTGGTACCACTTGGGCTGAATTCCAGACATCCTGGGTCCCAGACCTGTACTAATGTCTTTAATGGCTCCGAGCTACACTCACATTTACCAGAAATACATAAATTAGATAATTATGGCTGGCACAAAACAGGGCCCGAGGAAGGTCAGGCTTAAGCACACAGAAAAACTCCTCTCCAGTGCTGCTCCCGCTCTGGCTGGGGCAGAGGCCAGCAGGCCCTCAGCAGCTGGGCGTTAAGCAGGGAGAAGCATAAAGCTAGGCCTGCGGAGTTAGCAGCTGTTCTGCCTGGCTGTGGCCCCCCAGCTTCACGCAAACTTAATTGCTTTCTTTTCTAACAATGAAGTAGAGGCCAGGTTTTCTAAGTCTTTTCCCAGCTGGAAGGGCTCCATCCTGCAGCAAACAGTCCTTCATTCATCCTGGAAGAATCTTCCAAACTCTTCCTGGGCCAGTAAATTGCCTATAGAAGGCTTCTGCAGCCAGAGCAGTCAACTGTCTTCCAAGGGAATTTTTCTCCTTTATGGCTGAAGTCTGGAGTGGCTGGGGAGGGAATGGTTTATATCCTACTTTGCTGATCCCAACAGGACGACCATGGGATGAGGCCCTTTCAGCCACCCTGTTCTTCACAGATGGAGCTTTCTTTGAGTCATAGCTTAAAAGGTGACTCCTCCTTAGAGCCCTCCCTGACCCCACACACCCTTCCGGCACCAAGAATGTCTTCTTCACAACTCTCACAGCTTTCATTTTTATTCATTTCTTTATTGGTGCACATTTGCCTAATGTAATTCATTTGTTCACAGCTGTCTTCTCTACAGGACTGTGAGGAGAGAAGAGGTCGGATCTGTCTTAATTACAACTGGAATTCCAGGATTTAGCATCATGCTAAATCAACACCTGTAGGTGGGTGTTGAGTGAGTCTCACATACATCACTTCTTTGGGCTTCAGCAATTCTCTGGCAACAAAGGACAAGCTTCTGGCTTTCCTTACAATACTAAACCCTGTGAGCCTATGAGGAGAGGGCTACAAAGAGCCAGACAAGTTAACCTACATGAGTCAGGCTCCTACATATAAGCAAAAACTGAGGGAGGGCTTCCAAGTTTCCAGCTGGCAGTTATGTTCAAAGGCTGTGCCATGCTGTTGTCGGATGACTGACTGCAGATGCCCTCACACCCTCAGCAAGGTTAGAGCCCTCACAGGAATGGAAATTCCTGGCCAAAATGCAACTGGAGGTTTAGCATTCCACAGCAGTTGAACAGAAATGGTACCAGGGAGAAAGAACAATAGTGATTGGACACACTGAGCCCGCTCTTCAGCTGAAGCATCTTCTTCTGTGTTTGGGGCTCTACCTCTGCCCTCCAGTCCCCCAGGCCCCTTGCCCCTGCCCCCAGACCCTGGACTGAAAGCTCAGGCAGGCAGGAGTCCCTGGACCCAGCCCCAGTCTCTGGGCTCAGAAGGAGGAGATAGTCTTACTGCAGACTCAGAGAAGTGTCTGTTCATGGCACAGACTAAGGATGTCATTTCCAACCGGTGGTTCATAAGTGCCAATAGAAAGGTCCTCCTCCTTCCTGTGGGCTCTTTCTAGTCCTGTATTTTAACCCAAAAGAGATCCTCTGTGGGATTTAGCTAATCGAATAAACCCCTCTCTTCTGCCCTTTGTCGTGCAGTTCAAAGCAGTTTACACCCATACTGAAATCAAAATGCACTGACCCTTTGAATTGTGTAAGAATCCCTATTACAGCTACACTTGTGTTTAAAGTATGAAAGGACAACTTCAAGAACATTTAGTGAAAACTTGTAATAACAAAAGATTGAAAGGAGCTTAATGTCCATCACCAAGAGATGTTAAATAAGTAAATAACTACTTCCACATGTTGATGCAGCCCTATGTACCCGTTAAAAAGAAAGGTTTCTGGAGGAATCAACCATCCTGACTTCAGACTATACTACAAAGCTACAGTCATCAAGACAGTATGATACTGGCACAAAAACAGAAATATAGATCAATAAAACAAGATATAAAGTCTAACAAGCACCTATAGGTACCTTATTTTTGACAAAGGAGGCAAGAGTATACAATTGAGAAAAGACAGCCTCTTCAATAAGCAGTACAGGGGAAACTGGACAACTGCATGTGAAAGAATGAAATTAGAATACTCCCTAACACCATACACGAAAATAAACTCAAAATGGATTAAAGACCTAAATGTAAGGCCAGAAACCATATAACTCTTAGAGGAAAACATTGGCAAAACACTCTTGGACATAAATTGCACTTTGACCCACCACCCACCTCCCAGAATAATGGAAATAAAAACAAAAATAAATAGGACCTAAATAAGCTTAGAGGTTTTTGCACAGCAAAGTAAACTATGAACAAGATGAAAATACAACCCTCAGAATGGGAGAAAATAATTATAAATGAAGCAACTGACAAAGGATTAATCCCCCAAATACACAAGCAGCCCATGAAGCTCAGTATCAGAAAAACAATCAATCCAATCAAAAAATGGAGAAGACCTAAACAGATGTTTCTCCAAAGAAGACATACAGATGGCCAATAAACACATGAAAAGGTGTTCAACATCATTCATTATTAGAGAAATACAAATCATAACTACAATGAGGTATCACCACACGATGGTCAGAATGGCCATCATCAAAAAATCTACAAACAATAAATGTTAGAGAGGATGTGGACAAAAGGGAACCCTCTTGCACTGTTGGTGGAAATGCAAATTGATACAGCTGCTATGGAGAACAGTATGGAGATTCCTTTAAAAAAACTAGGAATAAAACTACCATATGACTCAGCAATCTCATGACTGGGCATATACCCTAAGAAAACCATAATTGAAAAAGATACATATACCTCAATGTTCACTGCAGCACTATTTACAACAGGCAGGACATGGAAGCAACCTAGATGTCCATCAACAGATGAATGGATAAAGAAGCTCTCATACATATATACAATGGAATATCACCCAGCCATAAAAAGAGATGAGTGTGAGTCAGTTGAACTGAGGTGGATGAACCTAGAGCCTGTTATACAGTGAAGTGAGTCAGAAAGAGAAAAACAAATATACTAATACATATATGCAATCTAGAAAAATGATACTGATGAAACTTTGGGGCAGGAATACAGGAAATAGTTCAAGGGAGAGACAGATCATAAATCCTGAATGCCAGCATGTGACATGAAGAGGGAGAATCCAGTCAGGAACAAACACGCAGATGTAGAGAATGAACTTGTGGACACAGGAGGGAAGGAGAAGGTAGGATGAACTGAGAGAGAGCACTGAAACATACCCGTTACCATGGGTAAGACAGATAGCTGGTGGCAAGTTACTGTATAACGCAGGGAGCTCAGTCAGTGCTCTGTGATGAACTAGAGGGATAGAATGGAGGTTCAAGAGGAAGAGGATATATGTATACTTATGGCTGATTCATGTTATTGTATGGCAGAAATGAACAAAACATTGCAAAGCAATTATCCTCCAATTAAAAATAAATTTAAAAAACCCATCTTGGTTACTTCCAATTTAGCCAATTAAGGTTAAAGCTGCTATATACATTTAAAGAAAAACAAAGGTCACTGTATTGATATAGAAAAATTCCCAAGAATATTAAAGAAAGCAGGATACAAAAGAGTGTTTAGAGCAAGGTTCCCCAGTAGTTCAGTGGTAAAGAATCCACCTTCAGGAGATGTGGGTTCGATCCCTGGGTCAGGAAGACCCCTTGGAGGAGGAAATGGCAACCCACTCCAGTCTTCATGCCTGGAGAATCCCATGGACAGAGGAGCCTTGTGGGGTACAGTACATAGGGTTGCAAAGAGTCAGACACAACTTAGCAATTAAGCATGAGATCATTTACCTTAAAATTAAAATATGTTAAGTGCCTGCTACATGTGTTGAATTATATCATCCCCAAATTCTTACATTGAAGTCCTAACCCCCAGTACCTGTAAATGTGACCTTACTGGGAAGACAAGGTAATGAATTAAAATAAGATCATGAGGTTGGACCCTAATTAAATATGGCTGGTATCCCTATAAAAAGGGGAAATGTAGACACAGACACGCACAGAATAAGAACACCATGTAAACACAAAGGCAGAGATTGGGGTGTTACATCTATAAGCCAAGGAACGTCAAAGATTGCTAGCAAGACATCAGAAGTTAGGAACAAGGCATGGAACATACCCTCCCTCATAGCCTTCTGAAGCAATCTACCCTGCCGACACCTTGATTTCAGTCTTCTAACCTGCACCAGCCTTGGTAAACTTATACAGTCTGTGTGTGTGTGTGTGTGTGTGTGTGTGTGTGTGTGTGTGTGTACAAATATACACACAGAAAGTCCAATGATATGGGTTGCCTCTAGGGAGGGAAACAGGTGGAACAGAAAATTTTCACCTTCAAAGTTCCTCCAAACTCCCCCTGCCCACCAATAAGTCATTATACATACAAGCGAATAAAAGTAGCCTTCAGGAGACTACATTCATCACTGAGAAAATCACCAAGTCTTGCCAATCTAACCTTCAGGTATCAATATGCTTTAACCTCTGGTGCCAAGTCTGACCCCCATGAGGGGTCGTTTCTAGGAGTGCTGTCTTGACAATGATGTCCAGGCCCCCACTGGGCTCAGAGGATGGGGGTTTCACAGTATGTTAGCATTTCTGCCAGGTGCAGAGGGGATTGCCAGCCCCGACCTGTCCCATTATCGGTTCAGGCTGGAAATTTCAGCTGGTTTGGGAGTGTAGCATGTAAGTCATATTCATCTTCATGTAATGGGAAGCCTTATTATTTTGGAGATCTACTACAGTGTATGGGTCAGGACAGGTGGCTCTGGAACATGTGACAGGATGACTCAGCTCATGCCTGAATCTGGGCCAACTGTGTGTGAAGAAATCCTTCTTCCTTTTTGGAGTAAATGGGCAGATGGAGAGTCACTGTGTGAGTCACGAAGCCCGAGGCCCCGAATGGTTGTGCAGATGGAGAAAAATGAGATCCCATGCAGGAGGCGCCCACTTCCTCAGACGGTGGGGTCTGCCCCCTGCATGTACTGCATCTGCCAGAATGCACACCCTCCAAGAAGTAGACCAAGCCCTGGGAGCAGAGGGGCATAGAGACTTGGCATGACCATAGGCACTCCCTGGACCTTGGCCACCTCCCAAAGCAGAAATGCCCAGAGACTTGGAACAAAAGTCAACGTGGAAGAAATTAGAACGAAGGCTGTTAAGTGAATGTCAGGGTCAGTTTAACCCTGCTCTAAATATCACAGGAAAACATAACTACGTGTCCAAGTTGACACCTCAGGTGTAAGCATTTTGTACCATTTACATATTATTCTGTCTCTGAGGGATAATAGCTAAAGCCTTTCTAACAAGTTCAGCTCTTTCTCTGATCCCATAGGAAGTAAATTTCCCCAGCCAGCAAATCCAGAATACATGTTTTTTCATTTTTGTTTTTCTTTTTAGGCCAGAGACATCCCTTTCAGAGATATGCTGAGAAGGAAGGAGATCAGGAAGACAGGTACAAGTTCACTTGAAAGAAAGTTGAGATCCTTGGACTGTACCTTTCATAGAACCAACATTCTAGCACATAGGCAACAATATAAACTACATCAAAACGGTGACACAGTGGTGCTCTGACTATAGATATGTTATACACGTCCTTTCCCCAAGCCAGGCAAGTCCAGCTCTAAGAGTATGGAAGCCAACAATGCAGAACCCTTGATCATGAAGAGCGTGCAGTATAAATGCAGAAACAACCAACCGCAAGGCAGACTTGAGGGTTAGACTGACAAAGGCACAGAAAACTTGCTCTGGGAGCAGAGAAGAGGAAGAATTCCTTTCCAGAAAAGGTGACTTTTGGACTGAGTATGAAGAGTAAGTAAAGATTTTCGGGGTTAAAAAAGGAGGAGAAAGTAGAGTACAGACAGAAGGAAGACCTCATTCAAAGGTTCATTCACTAGTGAATAAGGAGCAGTCTGGGAACAAGTAACCAGTCTGGTGTGCCAGAGGGCGGACTTCAGGGCAAGAAGAAGCTGGCTAGATAGGCTGAGCTTTGCATGCCCACTCGGAGTCCACACTTCCTCCTTGAGTTGCTGGGGGAGCTAGCACAGGCTTCACCACTGTGGGAGTTATCACATTCCTGCTTTATAAGGTAACTTTGCCCTTAATGTGAAGACTGGATCACACTGGGGTGAGCTTATAGAAGGGAAACTAGGTAGGAGGCTACTGACATAGTCCAAAGGAGGGAAGGAGAAATCATAAAGGCTGAATGTCAACCTGTGATGTGAAGATGGAGAATCAGGTCTGGGCCATTTAGGATTTGGGATAGACCAGATAGCTCAGTTGGTAAAGAATCTGCCTGCAATGCAGGAGACCTGGGTTCAATTTCTGGGTCGGGAAGATCCCCTAAAGAAGGAAATGGCAATCCACTCCAGTATTCTTGCCTGGAAAAATCCCATGGACAGAGGAGCCTGGCGGGCTACAGTCCATGGAGTCGCAAGAGTTGGACATGACTTAGCAACTAAACCACCACCACCAGCCCTCCTAAAGGGAGAGTTCGGGGGAGGATGATTTTGAGATTTCTGACTTGTTTGTGACATCACCCAAAAGAGAGGGCATAGGAGGAAGTGGGGGGAGGTGTCACTTTGGATGTGCCACATCTGAGGTGCCTGTGGGTCATCTGGTGATGTCCAGCAAGCAGGCAGAAATATGGGTGTGGAGCTCTGGAGAGAGGACTCTTGTGGAATATCTTTCTTATGACACATTCCTATTAAGCTTCCATTCCTGGGGTTTAGCTAAGGCCACTGTGGACAGATTTGTAGGGGGAGTGCTGTTCTGCGATCCTGGGTGTAGGCTCCCAGCCCTAACAGTGACACAGCTTTCTTCCTCTACCTCTGTGTGGGGACCAAAATTTTCGTAGGATCATCGTGCACCTGGCAGAGAGTAGAAGTGAAAACATATTCCACCGTTCTGGGGGCCTAGCACTGAAGTTCCATCTTTGGTCACACGTTTTCTGGTTGACATTGTCATGCAGGATAAATTCCTGCAGAATCATAGAAGTCTCCAGAACCCCAGGGCTCAATGAGCAAATTGGAACTTTGAGATGGGAGAAGCAGAGGGAGGAGGCATGTCCCATCCCTGGGTGCCCAGTAAGCATCAGGAGAAAATCAACATGAAAAGCAGTTGGTGACTGGCATTATCAGAAGATGGGCTGGCCAGGGCAGGCAACAAAGAAGGAAAGAAGTCGCAGCATATTTTAATGGATTGGCTCTGATTCTAGATAATTTCAGGATAATATCATAATAACATTATTTTATACCTAAAGATGTGCTAGGATGTATGGGCATAAAAGCTCTGTCATTTGCATTATCTCACTTACTAAAACTATTCCTGTGAGTTGAGCTCTGTATTAAAGTTATTATCCCCATTTTGTGGATGAGGAAAATTGGGGGCATGGAGGTTTAATGACCTTCCCCAAATTGTCTGTCTGATAAGTGGTGTATCTGAGGTCTGGAAGCGGTCTGTCTGACTCCAGAGGCTGCCCTCTTAACCACAAAGCCACAGTCTCCCTAGTATGTGTGTGTGATTGATGTATTTTATGGCACTCTGTGCTGTTAAAAGCACTGCCACATATTTAAGCCTCCAAATTGACAGCAACAGGGCCAAGACTAAACCTTTAACCTGCAATGGCTTTCTACAGAGTTCTCTGGGGGATGGACGGTAGACCCAGCATCTGGTACACTGCTGTCCCTTCCATCCGAAAGAGCCTGAGTCACAGTATCCGTCAACCCTAGTGGCCTCTACCTTAGGCAGGAGGCACTTCATAGAACCTGCATCTCCTGTAAGACCATACAGGGACCCCAATCCTTCGACCAAGCTGCCAAGAGGAACTGGAACAACGGGAGTCACAGAAGGCAGGTGGGGAGTCACGTTTTGTACTGCCAATCCAAAAACTAACCTTCAGGAAATCCTCATGCTGGCTGGGTACTCATTTTCCTCCTGGCTTCTAAACTCTTTAGACCACACTGAGAGTTTCATTATTGTTGTTAATTGATTAACAAGACAAACAGCTGTCAGTTACTTCATATACACAGGATACTTAAAAAGAAAACCTGAAATTTCAGACTTACAAAATGTTGCTAAAATAGTGAAGAATTCCTGAACACCCTTTCCCTCACACCTCAGATGTTAGCATTTACTATATTTGCTTTATCTATCATTTTTTCTTTTATCATTTAAGATGCTATAGATCTGATGCCTTTTAACCCTTAAGACTTATTTCCTAAAAGTCTGCCTACAAATCCTGCCTCTCAAAACCACAATGCAATTATCTACATTATATCAACATTAATGCACTACATTAGTTACCTAATCAATAAATCTTACTCAGATTTCACCAAATGTCCCTGTGATGTTCTTTTTAGCCCAACTCACTGTTAGGCATTGCATTCGCTTGTCATGTGTCTTGATATCTGGAACAATTCCTGAGTCCTTCTATTTCATGACATTGACATTTTTGAAACTTTTGGTTTGTCTTTCTCATGATGAAACTCAGCTCATGCACTTATTTTTTTAGGAATTCCACAGAAGATATGAGTTCCTATCAGTGCCTCATAGAAAAGACGTGTTATGAATTAGTCCCAGTAAAAGGCAGTGTCCACTGCCTTTACACTCATGTAAAGTCACTATTTTATCCTTTGTGATGAATGGGTCTGTTGTGAGGAGATACTTGAGATTATGCAAATATCCTATGATGAGACATCCATAGGTGATTCTCAATTGACTCAAATATTATGGTTGCCAAATGGTGGCATTCTAAATCAATTCTCTCTTCCACCATTATAAGTTGGCTTTCAACAGTAAGCAGGAGTTTTTCTTACACGCCATATTTATTTCTAATGGATGGGTTCATGAATTCTTACTTATTCAGTTTGTTATAATCCTTTACTAACATCTTTTGACACTCAAACTGTCCCAGGTGTTTGTCAGGTACTTCATGTAAAATATTTCATATAATTCTCAAAACAAATTTATGTGGTGCAGATTATGATTATCCTTATTTTGCAGACAAAACTGAAACTCAGAGATCAACTTTCATCACATTTAATTGGAGTTTCCAATCTTCTGATGCTAAATGCTTGATATAAATGTACATACATACACATGTATGTAAATTTCCCTTCCAATTCTCCCTATGTGTCTGCCATATAGGAATTATCCCCTCCCTCACTTTTTAAGATGGGAAAATAGGCTCAGAGAGGTTAAGTGACCAGTCACAGAAGCTGTGATGAGAATTTGGAAGACTATTTGAAACCCCATGTTGTTCTTCAGCAGACCATGTTGCTCCTTTAAGCTGTTTCCCTTTTGTAGATGAGTTCCTTAAGCATCTAGTCTTATCTAATCCTATTCAGGACAGAGGCATTGAAACTGTGGGTATTCCCCCCCCCCCCAAATCGATAGCCTGTTTTTGTAACTGTTTTTGCTTTGGTTAAAAGCTACCCTGATCTTAATCAGCACCTAAGTCAGGGGAAGTTGTGGTGATTTAGATCTTGTCGTAATCCTTGGTATTCTTGGAAGATCATGGCAATTCAGTTACTAAAATATTTAATCTCTCAAGATGAATGGGTTCATTCCAGTTTTTCAGGAAGACTGGTGAGGTCTTTCACCACATAGTCACCCTCGAATTTACTGTCTATGGATTTTTCCATTATTATGTTTGTGTTAATCACAGCACAGTGAAGAAGCTTCTCAATCATGAACCTGTGGGCCAACAAGAGTTGCTAATAGCTAAATAAAGAGAACCCAAACATTTCTGATATTTAATTGAAAAGGAAGTGTATGTATTAAAGCATCAGTTATGTCTAGCTTTGATCCCAGGTGACCTTAAAATGAAGTTTGAGGACCACCAGACTTACAGTCACCCCAGATGCCCATTACAAACACAGAGTCTGTTACTCTAGGAGGCGGACTGAAAAAGACATTACTGTGAGTTATGTCAAAGAGTGTTCTGACCATGTTCTCCTCTAAGAGTTTTGTAGTGGTCAGCCTTACATTTAGGTCTTTGATCTTTTTGAGTTTATTTCTGTGTATGGTATTAGACGATGCACCAATTCTTTTACACATAGCTGTCTAGTTTTCCCAGCACCACTTACTGAAGAGACTGTCTCTTCTTCACTGTATATTCTTGCCTTCTTTGTCACAGATTAATTGACCATAGTCATGTGGTTTTACTTCTCGGCATTCTATCCTGTTCCATTGGTCTGTATTTTTATTTTTGTGCTAGTACCATATTGTTTTGACTACTAGCTTTTTTGGTATAGTCTGAAATCAGGGAGCCTGATTCTTCCAGCTCCATTTGCAAATGGGACTTAAACTTAAAAGCTTTTACATTGCAAAAGAAACCATAAACAAAATGAAAAGACAACCTACAGAATGGGAGGAAGCATACACAAAGAAAGCAACCAAAAGGGATTAATCTCCAAAATATATAAATAGCTCATGCAGCTCTATGTCAAAAAAACCAAAAAACCCAATTAAAAAAATGGACAGAAAATCTAAATAGACATTTCTCCAAAGAAGACATACAAATGGCCAAAAAGAACATGAAACAATG